GAGGAATTTTTCTAGTGGACAACGAAGAGTTTAATTTTGCAGATGGTAAGTTTGAGGTATCTTTGAGACATCCAAGTGGAAATGTCAAGGAGGCACTTGAATTTGGGAATCTAGAGCCTGGAGGAAACACTCTGGACTGGAGATATAAATCTAAGAGTCTTCAGCATTAGAGGAATATAGACATTCAGAGATTGGGCAAAGGAGTACATGTTCTCAAAGGAGATTGAAAAGGGGTGTCTAGTGAAGTCAGCTGGAGAAAATGAGGAGTAGAGAGGCACAGAATCCTGAAACTAGGTGCTTCTAGAATGGGGTGTGGTCAACTGTTCCAAGTGCTGCTGAGTTCAGCAAGGTGTTGGTCAGAAGAGTACTGTAGGTGTTGACTGGATTTGGCAATCCTGCCTATGCAGAAGTACTGCGGGTCCACCTTGTTATTTCCCATTTCAAGAACCTACAGTGGGCTGGCCAGTTAGCTCGCTTGGGAGAGCTTGGTGCTGAGAACATCAGTGTCAAGGTTCAGATCCCCATACCAGCCAGCCGCCAAAAATACCAACCAACCAAACAAAAGAACCTATGGTGACTTTTCCTTGCCACCTCAAACTCAAATCCCTCTGCTATTTCTTCAATGTCCTCTATGATCTATTTCTCACCTATTTGTTCACTCGTCACATTCGATGCATGCCTATTTTCTGCCAGGCCCAGTGTTAGCTGCAGCGTAAGTATGATTTCTGCCTTCCAGAGGCTTATGGTCATGAGCACCCAACGTGTACCAACACGTATTCTCTTCCTTCCCAAGGAAGCAAAACTGCTACTCCAGCGGGGGTTGGGGGAGGTGTCTCCTCCTTAGCAGATTTGTCCCTACCTCTTTGTGCTGAAACTTCCATAAAAAATGTCTTCCTTCCTTTCTAAACCTTCCTCCAGGACCCACTTCAAGATTCATACCCTGTGTAAAGCTTGTTTCTTCAATAAGTATGCTTTCTCTCCTAAGAGACGCTGTAAACCCTTTAACATGTCTTTTATCTCTTTTGTATCTTTCACATACAGAAGAACAGCAGGGACAGAAATGGATCTACCTGAGACTACAGAAACAAGCTGGAGGGCCTCCTGCCTGCACAGGCCCCTTCCAAGGCCCTGTACCTAAGTTCGTATTCATAAATAGCAGATGAAAATTGAAGAAATTTTTGCTGATGGGCTCAGAATTAACTAACTTCAAATATTTGTTGATTTATTAAGCTTGCTTTATTAATACAGATTTATGTGAGAATTAATTACTGATTATGTCATTCCCTTGCCCAGAAGCCTTCAGTGGCTCCGTATTGCCACTAATTAAATATTAGCTTGATCTTCGAGGCTTGCCTCAATGTGGCTGCATTTTATGTCTCCAGCCTTATCTCCCAAACTGTTCTTATTTTCCCAAAACTGAATCCCTCATTGTTACCCTGGTGGTGGAGTTCATGCTGATTTTTCTGCTTGGAAAGCTCTCTCCTCCAACTTCACCTTCATCCTAAAATATCCTTTAGGCTGTTGCTTCTCAAAGAGAGGTCCCTGGACCAACAACATTACCTGAGAGCTTGTTAGAAATATAGACTCTTAGGTTGGCCAGTTAACTCAATGGATTAGAGCATGGCCTTGTAAAACCAGTCACAGGTTCAGATTGCCATACTAGCCTAGCACCCAAAAAAGTAGAATCTCAGACACCACCTCAGACCTATCAAATCAGAATCTGGATTTTTACGAGATCCACAGTAAAGTTCGAGACAAACTAACTTAGGCCATTTCACAGGCCCCCTCCTCTAAGAGTCTTAAACCTTTTAAATCCCTATAATAAAATATGTTTTTCCTCATTTGAATTCTTCATTCTTTTGGGCACTTCATTCTGCCTTGAATTATGGGTGATCATTTATAGGACTTAGTTATCCTGTAGGTTGTGAGCTCTTTGAAGGTGTAACAAGGGAGTCTCAACTTAGAGATGAGTTGACTTGGTAACATCCCCAGACACACATGTGTATCCATCCAGATCTAGGCGGTGCTGGTGTTTTAGCTCATCCTCAGAATTTTGCAAGGATCCAGATACAGATTGACTCTCAAATGTCCCACATTTGGGCAGGATGATCTGTTGCAATTATTTTTACTTGACAAAACAAGCATGTAATTATTATTTTATATCTTGAAAGTCTTAAATATCATTCCCTTTACCTTTGGCTAGTGCTGTGTGACTAAAATTATATCTTCATCCCTAAATTCCAGAGTAGGAAGAGAGCTGGCTTAAATTATTCAAAAGCAGCTGGTTACCTGTAACATCCTGTAAAATCTTTAGGGAAGGAAATTTCACAAATTCCTTTGATTAAAACAACATACAGGTTTTTCATGAAAATATTAATTTAAAATTCCTGCAAGAAATCAATGTTCACTGCAGAAAAATATAAATATACACACAAGTCTCTCTGCTCCCCCCAAGTCAACCCAATCTTTCTACTAGGAGGTAACCACTGATAACACTTTGGTACATTTCCTTCCTGATAGGATCTCTTCTGGCCTAAAAACATAGATATATATGACTATTTTTACTAGCTACATAGTATTTCACTATAAAGATATATCATACAAATTCGTTTAGTTGATTCTGCATCATTAGATTGTTTCCATGTTTCCCCCCTATTTAAAGTGCAATAGGCACTTTGTATATTCTTCTTAGAATACATTTTTAAAAGTTAATTTCTTGGGCCGGCCCTGTGGCTCACTCGGGAGAGTGCGGTGCTGACAACACCAAGGCCGCGGGTTCGGATCCTATATAGGGATG